GTAGTAGTGGTCTCAAGTGTCATGTGCCGAAGGATATTTTACTATCTCGTAAGTCTGTGTTTCATCCCTTAGCTGTATACACAGAAAAAAGAAGAAATCGCTTATCATAAAGGGAAAGAAGGGGAAAATCTCACTAAAAACGCTAAATTGAACGCCAAATCACTGTGTGATAGATTGGATTACCTGGAATTTCTGTAACTCATGATGTGCTTGCTTCAATACTATGCAACTGGTAACAATCTTTCTAGCTGCAACAACAAAGAGTATTTGTGAAAAAAAGCGAAGAAATGAGGAAAAGCCTTAAAAGTTAAGAAGCATCGCGCCTCATTTTCGGAGGCCCCTTTACCTGGAAAGAAAAAACATCTGCTCTCCGGAAGCCCCAAGCAATCTCATTGGTCCAGAAAAGCATAGAGAAGAAATATTAGAGGATTGTAACGGGAAGAAACAGACTAAATGGCTTTTAAAACACCGAAACCCGTGAAATCCGTCATAACCCCTTCCCCCCTCCCCGAAATGCCAAAAAACCGCAAAAAACCATTACACACAAACATAAACCCGAGGGATCTAGAATCACTAAAACTTGGCTCGACTCAGTCGCCATTGCGGGTCTCCGGCTTCTCCACCAACACTATTTCACGGCGTCGTTTGCTGACACTGCTTGGAACGTTGCCAAGGAGTGCTGGGTAGCGCTACCTACCATTTAATGGCTGGGTGGTGCTTGGCGGGTAATGGACGGATGAGTTGGACGTGGTTGGGGGTGGTTATTGGTGGGTGCCCAGATGTCGGTCTGGAGGCAGGATTTGGGAACAGGATAGAGGAAGGGAACAAAGGCATCAGCAAGGAGTTCGAGGCAGCAACTGAAAACAGCAGTACAGTAAAGCCAACTTGAAATTACGAAAAAATAAATAGCGACGCGAACCAGGCAGCCTGTGCAATCATGCGTTCTGTGCAATCCCATCCAGCGAACGTTTGCCTGCTAAAGATTTTCACTGCTTTGCACTTTGGACTATGCAAAAATAGTTGAAATGTTTCCTGGTCCCTAAGTTGCGGAATTTCCAACTAAGAATTTCACACATCGGCACATGAAAGTTGTATTTGAAACTTCGGAGAGTGAATATCCTTGCAAAATTTCAGTCTTCTAATCTTCTGGTTTTCGAGTGATTTTTGCAACAGAACTTCCAAGTGGTTGTACGTGAGACATAGGCATAATTGGGAATTGAATTTGAGTTCGTAAAGTTCCTCTGCTTAAGCATTTCCGGAAGAAACTCGGAGCATAATCCGTGGCACAGATGAACCATGAAGCACACGGAATAATTCATATGCATGCCGTGTACAAAATGGACTAAAAATTAGCGCACTGAGATTAGTGCTTACGTAATTTCAACAGTAATAGCCGTACTGGAGCAATCTTCAGCCGTCGAGCAGTATTAACTGTGTTTTCAGCAATCAGTATTTAAAGGCCTTTTCCCTCACTGCAAATTGTCTTCCGTGATCTATCGCCATCCTCCTGGTTTTTCAGTTTTTTAAACACTGATGTAGCGAAACACTTTGCGAGGACATCTGTTTGTTTGTTTTGTATGTGTCGCCACCAACACTGGTTTTTTCCGACAAATGCTTCGAGCTAAACAAATTAAGACAGCCACCAGAAATGTCAGGAAACACCCCTTTAAAATTTCAGCTTTCTAGCTTTCTTGGCTTCTGAGTTAGCAACTTACTCGAAAAAAAAACTTTCATGGGCGCGTACGTGGGTACCACGCATACCCGAGGGCTGGTTGTGGACTCATCAATACACACTTGGACGAGGAACACTCCCTTAAAACTCCAGCCTTCTAGCTTTCCAGGTACTCGAGTTAACAACTTACCCGAAAAAAATTTTGGTGAGCCTGTACGTGGGCATCACGCGTACCCGGGGACTGGTTTGAAGCTCGTTATGACTTACGTGGACAGGGGACGTCCCGTGAAATTTCAGCTTTCTAGCTTTTCAGGTTCTCGAGTTAACAACTTACCCGAAAAAAATTTTGGCGGCCCGTACGTGGGTATCACGCGGGTAAGAGCGCTCACTTCGGAGATGGGGACCCATATATGCATGTAGATTAAGTTGTCCAAGTTTCAGTCCCATAGCTTTTGTGGGTCTCGAGATGGAAAATCGGTACAGACGCAGCGCACACCACAGACATACAAGTAAACACACATACACAGACAACCTCTTGTCAATATGCGTTTTCTGCATTGCATAGCTGCAAAAAACGCAGAAAAACTGACGAAATCTGTATGGAAAGCTTTTGCTGTATTCCAGCTACACTAGGAGAATTTAGGAAGGGAACCAGACAGGCACTTTTTACATTCCACTAATATCAGAAAAATACCAGTTTTTTTTTTTTTGCTTTTTACAAATAAAACAAAAAAATAATTTTACTGTTTCTGCATGACTAAAAATCATCAAAGTTTCACCAATGAGCGGTTGCTTTTGGCAAAGTCTCATTATACAGGCAAACTCCGAGTGTCTTCGTCCCTCGTAGAAAGAATGGAAGATGAGGAGCCTGACGAAATGCGATCACTCAGACCATTTCTAAGTGATTTTGTCCCTCATAGAAAGAACAGAATCAGGAGAGCTTCTCCCGTAAATACAATGCTTTACCGAACAGTATTTTTGTCCCACACACACCGAGTAAAATATGAAAGATTATGATTTGGCATAGTTAAAATGTTACAGATTGCAATAAAAATTTCAAGAAAATTGAAACAGATTAAGGAAAATTTTAAAAAATCAGATTCGTACTGTGTATTTCAAAACTGCTCTGGTATTCAAATTATGCAACACTGTATAGACCAATAATAAAGATTCATACTCCACAGCCCTAAATCATCATAATACAATACGTATATTCGAAAAAATTCACAAGTGTTTTTCGACGTTTCAGGTTATTCTGCCATTAGCTTGCTTCTAAGCAACCCTCGAAAGAGCGATCCATCTTAGCCTTGGCAGCAGTTGGTTACTGCTGTTGACACGTACTAACTACCGGGGAATCTCGCAAAAAGCCAACGCATATTTGGTAATCATAAAGTAGTAGTTCAGCACATCGTGTCCAAGGAAGATAAGCGATTCGATTCCCTCGGTTCACATCTATTTGCAAAAGAGCTCCATTCGTGAAAATATCAAATCGGCTACTACCGACTGCCTCCATTTCTCATACAGAATGGACGTCAGCGGAGTTCTACTTTTAACTTTAAAACCAATTTATACCTATGATATAAAATGAAAAAAAAAACACAAGTAATTCTCTAGAATCAGAAGGCACATATGGTGTGGTTCATTTGGTTCTTGG